GGGCAAATAATGGTATAGGTTTGATTGCATCCAGGAAGTAAAGGTGTGGCTACACGTGGTTGCCAGTAATCCCAGGACTCCGGAGGCTGAGGCGGGAAGATTGGCATGAACTTACACTCCAGCCTGGGCTGTGTAGTAAGTTCCAGGCTACCTTGTGTCCCAAAATGAGATCTTGTTTTATCACTCAGACACACCCAAATAAATGGACAGCCAAAAACAACTCTAAAGGTTCGGCCAGAAGAAGGAAGAGTTGCCGGTGGGTTTATGTCATAAATTACAAATGGCAGAAGGAATACAGAGAGTGTGATGTGGGCGCATGTGAGCTGGTTAAGTTGCTACAGTAATGAGGAAAGACACTGTGTTTGGCACTGTGTCCGTGGGCCTGGGCTTAACCTCGCCCTGCCCTTACCAGCAGGGGGAGGGGGACGCACTTAGCAGTATGTGACCCTATTGGTTGATTCCACCAATGGTAATTAGTTCATGAGGAGGCCGTGGGCGCTCAGTCAGCTGGACTTGGCTCTGTGAGCACCATGAGGTCTGGCCAGTGCTGACAACAGCGAGGTTTCTCTCTGCTTTAGCACGGATCTTACTTAATCCCCCCTTTTCTGTGATGTGGGGCCCTCCTTTACTTGACAGAGAAGACCCCCTGGAGCTGTCAAATCTAGAAACAAAACTTCAGAGCTTAAATGTCTGTTCTCAACACCCACATGCTCCTCACCAAAGTCCTCTTTGTCCTCTGGATTAGCTTTGAACCCATGAAACCCTAAACTCGTCACGTTCAGAAATAGACTGGAAGGATGTCGGTTAGAATGTTTTCTGGCATTGTTTTAAGTGTGAGGGGTTTCCATGACAAGAGGACAGGTCTGACGGCAAACACAGCCTCCACAGCTGAGGTTCTTGGCCTCAGAAGTGCAGAGGGGAGGCTGTGCACATTCTGGCCCAAGGACAGTGACAAACACATCCATGGAAAAGGTGCTTGCCAACCTCACAAAGCATTTTGTTTAGGAATATTGAAAGGTTGTCTTACATTCCTGCTGTGAAGTCATATCCAGTTCCTTAGCAGAGGTAAGTAGGAAATATAAATGATTAAGAGATACCTTCAAAGTGTGGGCTGCAGCCTCACACTGTGGCTGTTCGCCAGAGCTGCGGGGCCCTCCCAACACTGCTGGCATTCTCAGGGGGGGAGGGCAGGCAGTCCCACCCCCTCCGGAGTGATCAAGCCTAAAACAGACAGGCTGCCATGAAACAGCTCGCTCTGGAGCAGAGCAGACCCGGACTTGAAAGGCCTTGAGCATGATGCAGAAGACCACCCCATGTTTCATGTGCTGAGCTGATCTCTCCTGTAAGTCCGTCGCCAGGTGGATCTTTGAAGTAGGCAGATGTGGCCGCCCTGCCCAGCACACCTGCGCTGCCTGCAGCCTCGCCTGTCAGCTCTCATCCCCTGCATCTCCACCCTCTACCACCCCAGGCCTCCGGAAAGCTCCGGAAAGCTCCGGAAAGCTCCGGAAAGCTCCGGAAAGCTCCGAGGATGGCCCCTCCTCCCACAGAAAGCACCCTTTCGTCTCAAGATCCTTTATATGTTACATTGGACCACTTAACACAGCTGCTGTCTGCCCAGGTTGGCCAGCGGCCGGGCATTTCATTTCCATCGAGCTTGTACAAGGAAGAGGTGACAAGTCACTGGCTAACGTGACGCAGGGTTCCTTACTGGTTGGAGTCATGTGTGGCTCAAGGCTGGACATGGCAAGAGGTGGGGCCGCCCAGCCTGTGATCTGGGGGAGGGACTCAGTCTCTGAGGCCTTGGAGGACGGACAGGAGGAGCAGGTGATGGTACCCAGCTCAGTGACGCTGCGTCAGGAACAACTTGACTTCCATCCTAACTGTGTCATCGTCTCACGTTGTCACGTGTGTCATCGTCTGAATTTTGCTCATCTTGTGCTTATTTGTTTTGTTGGACTGCCTCCCCCTGGAACGCTCCTGCTTTTGTCAGCCCCGCA